TTTTTTTTTTTTTTTTTTTTTTTTTTTTTTTTTTGGCTTTGTTTGCAGTGCTAGGGATCAAACCCAGGACCTCTTGCCTACTAGGCAAGCACACCACCACCTGAGCTACAGCCCCAGCCTTCAATTTCTGTTTTTTATGAATACTACTTAGTATAGTTCAGGGATTAGTCATCAGAATACCTTTTCTGAGGGTAATCATTATAGTTGTTCAACCACAGCAGAAAGGAAACCATTGAATTACAATTACTCTTACCAAAAGATAGAGAAAGAAGCAATTGTGTATTCCTTTGATTTTTGTGAAGTTTGTCCTTTAACCATTTAAGAAATTCATTGCAAAGGTCAATTATATCAGCACTGTAATGGTGCCAAGGTTTAGGTGTACCTGGGTACTACCTATTCCTTATCTTCACTGAGAAGTTAATGAATATAGTGGGGGAGATCAACAATTTGCCTGAGAGTAGCAGTGGATCTGCACTGTCTGCGTACTTCCGTTTCAACCTTCTCCGCATGGCCCATCCACCCAAAGAAAAGGGAAGGTGGCAGGAAGAGTTCGCTCATCACCAACCTTGGGAGGCATCACAGAGTTGCCGCTTCCAGTTCCCTGGACTCTGTTACTCAAAAGATTGAGAGACAGTATATAGCCCTGCTGTAGAGTGCAGTTTAAACATGGCACAGAATGAAGAAAGCATTTTTGCATTTGCATATATAGATAGGTAAGCAATGCTGCTGTTGTTGCAATTGCCTGAAATGCAGAAATTTCACTCCTAAATCACTCTTAAAGACGACTAAAGTAATCGCTTCTCGGCCTTTTGGCTAAGATCAAGTGTAAAGATGACTAAATTAAACTTCATAATATTGATGTTGACAGTCATGTAATTTGAAATGATGTTTCAGGATACAATAATGCAATGTTTCAGTGTGCTTAAAATAGTCTTTCATCTGCTTTAAACTAAAGCTTGCTTTCTTCCAAAAAATTTGGGCACATAATTTTAAAAGCACTATAATCTTGGTTTCTATGCTATGCCCTTCATCTGCCCAAGACTTTTTCTGCATCTGGAGTAGTAATCTAGAAGTATAGAAGACTAATACTGAGATTTATTATGTTTCAAAATCTCTTCTTCTAAATGCTCTGTATATTTAGTAAGGAAAATAAAAGACATAGAAAAAACAAAGAGAGAAAAGTTATTGTAATCCTGAACGGCCAATATAAGTAAAAGTGTACCTTGACTTAGTATAATTGTCTTATGTGTTTTATGATTTTTGACCTGTTAGCCTAGCTGATAATTTGTGTGTATAATAATTATTTTGACAAAGAATAAAATAAAATGAATAAATGAATCTGATGCTTACAGAAAAGAATTTTTTGAGGAAGAGGTACAGGGAAGGGGGAAAAAGAATTAAGATATATTGTATACATGTATGAATTCCCCATGATGAATATAATCATTATATACTGTAAACATGTACTAATAAAAATTAAAAATTTTTAAGTGCTCTATACTCATTAGAGATGGAAGTGATATGGCCAACTAGTGCCATTCTTTGTTTGATATTACTTGACAGTTAAGTCTAGTGTCATTTTGAATTCAACATATATGTTCCCAAATATTAGAGCCCTTCGAGATTCAGAACTCAGTAATGTTGCCCTTAATTAACTCAATGAAAACTTCTTTACTGGTAAGTAAGCTGGTAAGGTAGACTACCCGTCATAGTGGTTTAAAACATTAAAAATATTTTATTATCATTTTAAGTATTAGAATGAAGTAGGGCTGGGTACAGAAAATTTCACAAAGTAATTGGTAAATTTCAGATAGAGGGAAGGATCCATGTGAAGATAACAAAAATAGTATAAGCAAAATTTTTTCATCAAAGTTTATAAAAAACATGTTTACATTCCTAATTATAAGTAGCAAGATCTACGTCTCTAATAGATCAGAATATTAGAATTAGAAGAGACCTTAAGGAATCATTTTTTGCAACTCCTCTCATTTTATAGTTGAAGAAATCCATGGCTCAAGAGTTGATTTTTGGGCTGGGGATTTAGCTCAGTGGTTCTGCCGCCTACCTCACAAACTCAAGGACCTGAGTTGGATCCCTGGTACCAAAACAACAACAACAACAACAACAAAAGTTGATTTTCCCCAAGTCTCTCAACAAAAATTAGTAGTAGGTCCTGAAAGGGAATTTAGATCCTGTGGCTCCTGGGATTCTTCCCTGTTTCCTCATAGTTCTTTATCTTTTAGGTTTCAGGGTGACAAACACTGAGACTCTTGTAGCCTATTTTCTTTTTCCTATAAAAAACATTTGCTTCCTTTAGGCCAAGAGAACAGAAGTCCTTAAATCCTCTTCATAGCTGTTCTTATTTAGCGCACCAAGAGTCTGGTGAAGAAGTCTCAGGAAGTCCGGGACTTGAGGCCTCTGGATTCTCCTTTGGCTGCCATTGTCCTTCCTGGCACTTTTGTTAGCTTGAGCAAATCACTCCTCAAGAATCAAAGTGAGGGGGCTTGGGATTTAGTTCAGTGGTTCCGCTGCCTGCCTCACAAGCAAAAGGACCCTAATTCAATTCCTGGTACAAAAAAAAAAATCAAAGTCGGGGAAACATTATTAAGCAAGTGCTTTCTTATTTTTAAATATGACAGGTAACTTAATAGGTGAATGTCTGAGATAATAAATCAAGTAATGAGGGCTGGGGATTTAGCTCAGTGGTTCCACTGCCTGCCTTGCAAGTTCAAGGGCCCAAATTCGATCCCCGGTACCAAAACAAACAAACAAACAACAACAACAAAAAAACTACAAGTAATGAAAAAAAGATCAGCTCATTAAAGAATCTTACTAATTTATGAGAGGTAAAGTGGCTGATAGCCCTGTGTTCTTTATAGAATTACAACTTTAAAGGAAGATACTTAAACGTGTCTTTTCTTGGTACTATTTTTTAAATTTATAAACATTATTGATAATGGGAAAGGATTTATTTGTGCACTGGATAAGTTGTCCTGGCTTAGGACACATTCAGCTCTCCTAGGCTATTCCTATTTTTCCTAATCTCTTCCTTTCTTCATTTTGTTACCTTAGAGAAGTCCAAATCTTTGTCCTTCATGGTTGTCTTGGCTATGGAGGTGTATTCTAAAGTATGGCCATTTGTAAGTGTAGGTCATTTATAAATTATGAACTCTAAGTCAGGTCTGCCAATATTTGCTAATGGCATTAAGAGAAAAAGAATCAGAGAACAAAATGGTTTTGTTGCTTCTTGCTAGTCTGGAATTTCAGGAAAGAAAGGAACACTGGTTATCCAGAGCCAGATCTACTGGTAAAAGTTCATGCCATCATTTTGACATTTTGCGTTGAACTTTCTCTTTGTAAATCCCTCTTCAGTTTACCCATGCTAGTCTCAGAGCTCAAACTGTTTCAAAACCAAAACATTTCTTAGTGAGTGATTGATCTGTATTATATGTCCGGCCATCAGGAGGATCTTGGGATATTGCTAGTATAAACTGTAATCCAATCCAATGCTGTGCATTTAGTTACAGTCTTTCGTAGACATATTGGTGATACTCAATCCTCCTGGATTTGGGAGTAGGGCTTATCTGATACCTTCAGGGGGAAAAAATCCATTCATTTTTCTCTCTTCCCCACTTAAATAACTCAACACATCTGGTAACACTGTAGGATCATTGTCCTTCTAGTTCCTCTGCAGCTCATATTGCTACAATATTTCTTAAGTATTTAGTTACGTAAAGGACAATGTGATAAAAAAAATGGGTATAGGTTTTACAAATGTGCCCATCTACAGAGGTAGAAAAAAAGTATGCCTTTAATCAGTAAAAATTTCCATATCAGCAGCCCTGTGTATGTTACACAGTAAGAATGTAAATAGAAAATTGGAGATAAACACTCGTGTTAAATTTTGAAGCAAGTCTTTCTACAAATTAATATAATTTGCCTCTAAGAAAATGTTTATTAAATAGCAACTACCTGAGATTAAAGTATCTTGTTATTTGGGTCTGTATCCTTTGGCTTAATAATGTCTTCAATTACAAGAATGATAAAAGCTGAAACAAAATCCTTTAATTCAATCAGAACTAAGCTAAATTCTAGGAAGCAAAGAGTAGAAATCAGATACAAGACTGCATAATGTAGGAAGTTAAATATAACAGATATTAAGACTTCGTAAGAAGCGGACAGGGTTGCCTTGAGGGATCCTTGTTTGAAATGCTGCCTGGAACATTATCATTAATAGCACTATTTTATCTTCTTGGATTAAGATGCTTTATGCAAACAACTGTAAATTGTGCAGTAGTTCCAAAGAGACCATTTACTGTTTTCTGCTTGTTTTACATTCTGGAACAAGTTCAAAGCTTTTGATTTTGCTTTACTTTCTTTTTTAAATAATCTGAGCCTTGAAAATAATATAGGTTTGATTAACATGATCTCAATTTTATAGTTCTGTGAAAATTTTTAGTGTTTATGGTACATTTGACCCTAGGGTCCTACATCAAATGTATCCACAATGCATTTTAAGTACAACAGAATGAACACATTTGAGAGATTAACTATTCTCTTGCTGTAGCTTTTCTTTCTGTATTAAGTATGTAGATTAGCCTTGTAGTGGCTCCCACAATGAGAATCCTGAAAAAGTATCCACCTGACAGAAATAAACATGCAGAAAATAAATTGAGTTAAGATTTCATTTGTTTTCTGAAATTTAGGCTTATGTTCAAAATGGTTATTACTAGATTTTCATGTATATTAGTTAAATGCTATGCTTATAAGACATTTTGGCTTGAATTATGACTGAGAAAATTGGATCACATCTTTAATATCCAGGTGGGCAATGATATTTGCCAGGATCTTTGCATATAACTCTTTATGTTGTTGTTAAGCGCAGATCCTGCCTTCTGAAGCATTCTGAGGTAAAAATGGGGCTAATTTTCCTTCTTGTTTTTTAGGTCGTAGAACTTATAGCAAGTGCTCTTATGGACTTGGTACAAGGCGTATACCATGAAAATTCTACTTCAGCCAAGGTAAAGGATCTCAGAATCATTGTAAAACCTTAGATTGGAATGGCTCATGGCAAAACTAGAATTGATGAGCAAAAGTGTCATTCTTGTTTTGTGTTTAAGCTGTATGTGACTTTTTTTTTTTTTTTAGATTAGTGTTTTGGCTACAAATTCATAGCCATACGCTTAGTGCACAGCAGATTTAGCCAATTAAAACAACCTCTTCTCCTCTGGCTGGATTCACAGTCTGTTGTCTGCAGCAGCTCAGTAGATAGTGGGCTGTTTCTGGCTGGCAGTTAACACAGTCACAAGGCAGGCAGGCAGGCAAACTGGAGGACAGCTCCTGCTAAGGCAGCTAGACCCAGCCTTTCCCCAGAGGAGGGTGCCCCCCCACCCCTACCCCATGTGCCTGAGGAGTGGACCATGAGCTCAAGAACTTGGCTGTTGGGGAGGTGGGGAGGAATGTCTTCTATATCTATGATCCAGAATTTACTGCTTATTAGAATCTCTGTGATAAGAAGTAGTAGAGTTGCATAGTTGGATTACTTTGATTAATTTTATAGGTCTAGAATTAAGGTTTTTGACTCATTTAGCAGGACATCTCAAGAAAGGCTAGCTTTTATTTCTTTCAAATGCAGTTATTTCATTTCCATAGCAGATTAAATGTGAAGTAATTGCTTCATTGACCACCACTATCATTTACCATGGTGTATACTATTATAAGAGATTCCTCTCTTAGGGCTTCATTATTCCAACTTCTTCTATATTAGCAAGATTTCACTCAGTGCAAATTAGAAAAAATATGCATGTGTGCACAGCCTGAGCTTCAAAGTTTCCATTTGAAAAAAGAAAGACAAATTTTTTCTAGAAGCAAATATAGGTCATGAGCAATTTGGATAAAAATTTTAAAAGTATAACCTAGGGAATCTGAATGGTTCAGAGAAAGGCTAGTGAAATATGAAGAAATGCACCTTGGACATCTGCTAACATTTGGCTCAGGGAACCACAGTTCCCAGTAGGCACAGCTAACCTCACCCAAATAACATGTTGGTATGTGAGGACCTCACAAGATGTGGGACCACAGAGGACCCACTTTGCACAGTTTTTCAAAGACAAGCAAGTTTCTCTACTAGGACATAGGGTTGAAGTCAAATTGTAAAATGGGTAATTTCTGGTCTAGTTCCATTCATAGAGAGTCACTTTGTATATATAGTATGAAGATGATGATTGCTAAGTACCTAACTATATGGCATAGAATAGATTTCTTCATTTAATCTTCATAGAAACCTGAGAGGTGGGTTTTGCTATTCCTTTTTACAGATAGGAAGATTAATTAATTAATTTTTAAAAGATTCAGTAGGGCTGGGGATTTAGCTCAGTGGTCCTACTGCCTGCCTCGCAAGCACACAGTCCTAAGTTCAATCCCCAGTGCCAAAAAAAAAAATTAATTTTCCCAAGATCATACATTTTATTAGCTGAGATTTCAACTCTTAACCACTTATTCTACTGCTTCTCTATTTTAACAAAACCTGGTTTAGTAACATTCACCTACCATACCTGAGGTCTTACCATATGATGATTACAGTGACCTATTTGTGCAATTGAGGCATTGTTTTCCCCTAGAATATTTTAAACCTGTTAACTTAGTTTCCTATATTAATATTTTATAGTTAAATATGTATATATGTTTATGTGAAAGTGTTATTGTTGGTTTAGTCTCTTAATTTATCCAGTCTTACAAATTGTCTCCTGCAACTAGCCTAGTTCATTAGTAACTCTGTGAACATTTAAGTACTTTCTACATAGCAGACAAGCCTCATAGCTGCGATAATAAATGCTTATGTAGCATTTTAAGTTTGCTTAAATATTTTTTGTTCACAGACATCTAGGCTGAAAAAGGGTGACATTTTTGGTATTGTCTCTTTGCAGAGGCGAAGCCTAAAATTCAGAGATGACAGATGCTGTGTTTTTCTAGGGTTAGGGTTAGGGAAAAGCATAATATCTGAAGTGTGTTGATGCGTGTTTGAGTGTTAAGTCTGAACGCAAGTTGTTTTACTCCCAAGTCCCATGCTTTTCCTTATATAATGTGCTGCTGCTTCCTGGAAAAGAGAAAACAGGAAGCAAAAGACTTTGAAGAACTGTTGATCATATGGAACAGCCACTGAGCAGGCACCATTTGCCGACTTTCTCACTAGCTAATAAAATTTTACTCAAAAGAATCTGCAGCAATGCTTTGTTCACCGGGCTTTTTTCCCTGCCTCCTCCAAACATGGCCTTTTAAGCACGTGACTCTTTTTTTAAGCGGTTAAGTTTCAAATGTTAAGCTAAACCATTTAAAGAATCGTTCTTTTTAATACTAGAAACAGAAATGCATAGCTGAACTGCAGCAATGAGAGTGCTTCTTGCTGCTTCTATTTGTACCCCAGATCCAATTTAGGTTAACCATGTTTCCCTTCCTAACCAGAAAAATCCTGTACTACCTCCAAGTGTACTTGCCATTGCCACGGCTTTTCACAGTTTGGTTTTGCTAGCTTGGCCCAGGAATCACTTGAGAGGCAGGGATTGTGAGTACTACCCCGACATGGGGCACCTTCAAGGTCTGCGTGTTCTGGCAGGACTGGGAAGCAGCCACAAGTGGAGGTCACGTGGGAAGTGAGGGGGACTCTGTGAGTCTCTGTTGCGCAATGTCCATAGTCCTGGGCCAATTCAGTACACAGAAGAGTTGCTTTGTGATTTAAAATAAGCTATAAACCATTTCATCTGTCTGGGGATAAGAGGATACAATTGAGGTCTGTTTTCTACATGGCAGCTTAATGCGGTGATGGAGAACAGGCAGTAGTTTTCTATGAAGTATGTGTGACAAGGATAGATGTATTAAAGCAAAGATAGAGGAACTGCAACTAGATACATTAGAGATCACCTTCTCCAAGAGAAGTTTGTAATTACCTAATTCTCCTTAAAGCCAAGCAAATGTGTGTAACTTAAATTGCTAGCACTGCACAGAGTAGGTGAATTGTGATCATGAAAACAAGTAAAATAATTTAGGAAATCCATTCTCTATTCTATCCATTGAAAATATTTTTATGTTTGTACTTGCTAGTTTGTATTCCATCCCTTCCTTACAATAAAAATTAGTTATTGTGCTTTTTTTAGCATTTATTAAAAACATCTTCCTTCCCTGTATCTTTTTTCTATGATAGCTAATTTAAGAAGAATATTAGTAGAAAAATGGCATTTTAAATGGTTATTTGCCATTGTAAGAGTTCCTCAGCTAAGCCATGCCCATATATATAACACATTATACACTGTATTTACTAAGTATTTTTGCATTTTTAAAAATTGACTTTGGATCCACAGACCAAAATATCTAAAATAGTAACAACAACTTTTTGACTTTTGACTTTGGATCCACAGACCAAAATATCTAAAATAGTAACAACAACTTTGTTGTTGTTATTATTATAACTTATTTTCTGATTAAAAAAGCAAATGTATATTCATTAAATTAAAAATGAAAAAACAAAAAGCAAATAAAAATTATTTTACATACCTGTCCTCCAGAAATGAATCATGATATTTCAGTACATTTCTTTCTAGATTCATTCTGTTTTTCTTATTTTTGAGTTGAAATGTATAACTTAGTATCTTGATTTACTGTGTCATCATTAAGTTTTCAAAGTCATAATTTTAATGACTAGGTAATATTTCTTCATACTACTGTATTGTAATTACTGAACCTTTCCTCAATTCTTAGATTCCTGTTTACATCTTTTAACTAACATAAATAATATTGCTGCTATATCTTACTATATATAATATTGTTGTTTCGTTCACTGTTGGCTTTAAAAATTCCTGAAAATGAGATTCATGAATCAAAACATATGACTATTTTAACTGTATTCCTATGCAGAAGAGGATTATTATCCTTAGACAAGCCTGCTTAAAAAGTTTGGCCTTTGGCTAGCATCTGGAAACTTAAGTTTTAGGACTGTTCCCACCATTCCCAACTGACAATTTGCAGTGCCTATTATGGTTTAGATCTAAAATGTTCCCCAAAAGGCTCATCTGTCCAAGGCTTGATCTCCAATACACCACTGTTCGGAAGTGGGAGCCTAGAATAGTGACTGGATCGCGATATCACTGTTTTCATCAATGGTTTTAATTCACTGATGAGCTCATAACTGAATGAGCCATTGGGAAGTTATACCTCATGGAGGAATTGGGCCAGAGGGACATGACTTTGAAGTGCTGGCATACTTGTCCCTTACCCCTTCCTCTCCGGCTGTCTCACTTTTTCTGCTTCCCAAATGACACGTGGTGAGCAGCATTGTTCTTCCACCATAATGGTAAGTCTCTCCTCAGGCCCACAGCAGTGGAACTAGTCAACCATGAACTAAAACCCCAGAAATAGCCAAAATAAACTCTTCCTCCCGAGTTGTTTTTCTCAAGTACTCTGTTACAGTGACAAGAAGCTAAAATGATACCTAAACTGTTTCTGTGCATAAGGAGGTGTATGCTGAGCACCTTCTTTCTTTCTGGAAGTCTGAGATGTTGGTGCATAGCAGGCAAAGAGCCCCAATAAATACCCTGAGCCCCAACCCTCTAACAGACATCCCTGGCAGGCAGCATTTCATACATAATCTCACAACACATTGTTTGAGGAATTAAGCACATCTCATGTGAGTCCACTGGTAGCAGACTCTTGGAATCTTGGATCTGCTTTCCTTCAGACTTCATGTGATGTGCCTCTTTTTCTTTGCTGGCTGGTTCTTGCTGTTCATATTCTTTCTCTGTGATTTTTTAAGTTATGACTTGTGATTTTGACTTACATGCTGAGTACCATAAATCATCCTAATCATCAAACCTGGGTTGGCCATGACCCAGGAAAGCAAGCTAGTTTAAAAGAGAAAGACTATCAATTCTTTTGGGAAATAATTCATTTTAACAGTCACTGAAATTGCAAAATCCATTCAAGTTTTTTTTCAAGCACAGATTATGCTTTCGGTATTAGTAGATTATGAGGA